ATACCGTCGATATTTTATTCATGTACACTAATTTTCTTCATAACAAAATTCTTTATTGGAGCCTTCAGTCAAACACTTCTTTTAATCAAAGCAACAAACTGACGCATGACTAATTAAGACTTCCTCATCTGTATCAACCGAAGCTAAGAGAATCCTGCAACAGACCGAGAATAATCCTAATTTGTAATGTTTGTTTAACGATGCTGTCAGTAGCTCAGCCTGGACCTACATAATGTCCAATTAAAGGAATAGGAAAGAATGTTTAAGGAGGCGATCGTGGCTTAATTCAAGCCAAAATCCAGGAATTTGCCTGCATGACTGAAGAAAACCTCTAAAACAATGACTCAGGAGAGCCTGTGTTCCAGAGGAGATTCGTACCGGGTACCTCAGGAATTCAAGTCAGTCTTCTTACCGCTTGAGACAAACTTTGTGGTAGCGATTCTGTGTAGATGTTGGTAGGTTCTCAATATAGCACGCACCGAATGAAGTACTAGGTACGTACGTACGTACGCAGTTCTATGGGATATTCCCCGCAAAGGGCTGTTCAGCACAGGTGGTGAATGTGCTGGCATGCACTGGGCAAATTAGAGCTATTTACAGGGTTAGACTTATCAGACAACTGTTCCGTAAGGCGACAGGTTTTCGCTAAACCTCTAGACTCCGAACAAAACCAACGACGAGATTTTCAATGAAACACAAAATTAAGTTCAAAATGAAAAAAGTTATCGTCACGGGTATGAACTGTGTTTCATTTAATTAAATTAACTTTTTACTTGTTTAAACCTTTAAAGCACAGTGACTACTATAAGCATCGTCTACTTTTAATATTCAGAACTCTGGAATTTGTCCTCAGGACGCATTTATGTTTGTCACAGTGAAAGCTATCCCTGTAACATATCGTGAAGGCTCATAGGGTTGTGAGACGTCGAGGCTCCCATATTTTCTAGATAATCGGCTCACAGACGGCGGTGAGGTTGTCAGCCTTACGCATCGGCCGCCCTTTACCCCCAGGAACATTCCTAATACTCATTTCTGTTAGAGGCTGAGTCGACCCCTAGGACATAGTGCGGCAGGAAGGGTTATGTGAAGTGAAAAAAATACCGTTTCCTCATCGGGAGTCGAAACCGCAACCTTCTGGCTTGTAGCATAGTGTCTCAACAAACTACACTACCGCGTGCCACCGATTCTCACAGTAAACAAGAATAATTTCCCTTAACAACATTAACCAGCCGATCCTTGTAACAGAGACAAGAGTTTTATTGTGAAGAGAGAAACAAATTTTAAAAATCGTTTAGATATATTTGAGCTTCAAGAGTTAACTGCTTTACAGCCACTCGGTAAGTTAACCCACGGTATAAGCATGAGCAAGTGCTCCACTTCTAAATGTCTAGCAGTTATTAAGAAGCGAGTTTTTACGTGACTTGCTTCAATTCTTCAAGTTACATAATTGTTCTGCATATTGTACGCAGCAATTCTCCATCCTGCAAGTTACATACTGTACGCAGCAACTCTCCATCCTGCAAGCTACCTACTGTACGCAGCAACTCTCCATCCTGCAAGCTACACATTGTACGCAGCAACTCTCCATCCTGCAAGCTACCTACTGTACGCAGCAAGTCTCCATCCTGCAAGCTACAATAACTAATAAATAATAGAATAAACTACGTCAGCATTTCTTCGTCTGAGGGTTCTGCACTGTGAGGAAAGGCAGCATTGCCTCACACTTACTTCTGAGGCAGAACAGGATGCAGTGCCTTATCAGTGAAAGGCGATCGTAAGAACTGGGAAGCAACAGAATAAATTTCTCGGTAGCCTCTCTATGAAGCCCATCATAAACAATTTGTTATAGTAATTTAAACATATAGGAAGGCCCACGCAAAATGCAAATATCTGTGGAGCTCTTGAGAACAAAACAAACTAAATTATCACACACAAAAATTATTGATTCTCGGATTATTTGATGACGCTTTTTCAGCTACATTGTTCATATGGTGGAGGAATTGATACAAGGGCAGACTTGTCTACAGATGACGATAATAGGCCTATGTGTAATGAAATAAACACTGTGCCTTAGCCCAATTTTGGCCTAACAGAAGAATGCAGTTCCCAGAACAAATTCCTATCAGTGGAACAATAAACTGTTGTGTCCTTATACAAACTCGTGCTACAGTACAGGAATACCGGAGATTGGTAACCATTTTGCAAATTATTCAATAATGCTCATCTCATATTAAAGGCAATTATACTATACAACATTTTTAGTTATGCTTGCTGCAATTGATATATTTATAAAATGTAGAATTGTGTTAACTCAATTATAACAAAAGATTTCATTGCAAGAGATGACGCTTTACAAACACTCGGTCATAAACGTATCTTTTTCTTTCTTTGTCCATCCTCCTACTTTGTGCACACCCTGTGGAGGGTATGACAGCAGCTGTAGCTAGAGGCTCCACAGAGTACGAATTTCTTCGCAGCCCTTACAGATGAAGACCGAAATTAGCCCATTTGCTTATGGCGATCTATAAAAACTAAGATGATCAAAGTCCAAGAAAATATATTTTTAAGTGATCTTATCACGCTATAAAACTTTAAACTTAATTCTTTCGCACCTTTTCGGTGTAACACCTCACTAATTCGGGAATACCAATATGTCATAACACGCATGCAGCTGTGTGCAGTAGCCCACGGACTTGCGATCGCGACCGGCCGGCTAGTTTGACGCGTGGTCACAGAGACTTGTACGCCTGAACTGAAGCAGCAACCACGGGCGGCATTTGCCGGCAAAGTCCGGGCCATTCCGCGAATGTTGCAGTTTCCGCGCACCTCGTTCCGCCGCGGGGCCAACCCATCCTCTGAGATGTCTGTAAAGGCATGACAATGACATCTTGGGCACTATCATCACCTCAGAATTGCTTAGAGGCCATGATGTTTCGGCAACTGCTTCGGCTTCCTTCTTCTCGTGAAAGGACAAGCTAAATATTCGTGGCTCGAGACTGAAGAGGCCAACAAGCTTATTATTCCGAAAACACCAGATTCACTTCCCGAAAAGTTGCGATTAATGGAAAAAAAGTCAATGAACAGTGCAAAATTAATTTCCTCACGCTACGCAGTTGTCGGAAACCTCCAGGGTTAGCTGACAATCTCGTCCTCAAGGCAAAAGTGAAATATAACTTATTACAGTTCCTCCGAAAAGCCGGTTAACACAATATCTACACGGCGCCACATCTCAGAAGACGGCTTTCTTCATAGTCACTGCCGTGAAAATCTCAAATCTTACTTATTACAGTGTCATTTGATCTGTCCCTACAAAACTGTTTTTTTTAAACACGTTTCCTTACCCCCCCACTTTTCGGCCGTAACTTCCATCACGAACCCTGACCTTCACAAATCTGCTGTATTACGTAATTCCACACACTTCACGTGCTTTTGTTTATGGGTGTCACTGTCAGTGTCACTCTTCAGTCTGTCAGATACGAATATGAATTCAGAAACTTAATTGTAAGATCGTTTTCAGCGTGCCCAGATCCGGCAAATCACAGTTAACAATGTTTGGGCTACATTTCTTGGTCCACGGACAATTCGTCCGGCCTCCCTCTTCCTCTTCCTTTGTCCACAGACATTTTGTCCATTTAAGGCCTATTACATACTGAAAATTATTTGCCTTTGTTGTTTCTGTGCAGTAACTAGGATTTAATTGTACTGATAATATCTGACAAGTTCACATCCTTACATATGAAATGACTGGTCATACTTCATCCTACATCATTGTATAACGGTTGTAATAGGGAGAAAATGGAAATGTTAAGCAGTCGGCAGGCTACTAGGCCTCTATAAGCGCAGAGAATGCAAATTTTGCAAAACTCGTTTAATGCAGGCCAGCCGGAAATCAAAACAAGTACTTTTGTAAGTTTTGAGGTTTTCACGGCGATGACAATGAATACACGGTGCCTAAACCCAGAAGACAACTTTCTTCAAAACAAGTACTTATTTACGACTGACATAATGTAAGATTTCGATGATCTATTCATCGTGTTGGACTACTTCAAATGTGAACATAGATACAACTTCGAACAATTCACCGATCATGTGACTAGCTTAGTGCAATATATTAGTAGAAAGAGGCATCACAGCAGAAACGTGAGAGTAGACAGGAAACATTAAATATGATTCAAGTACGATTTTGAAGAGCAGAACGACTGACGAGGAAATAGGATTATGTCTTTTAGAAACATGATGTGAAACATTGTTACACAGGGGCATCAGCATTAATTGATATGTTCCTGTGAGCATCGGAAAGTTTGGAAAACAGAATGTGCATCCGACACACAAATCCTCTTTTCTGTTTTCCTGTGGCCACAGTAAATAAAGGGAACCTGCTATGTTGTACAGATACGATCCCGAAGTAAAGATTACAGGGTGTCGATAACATGGCACGTTGTTCAAACGGCATTATCACGGTTTATGTTGCACTAACAAAACGTTAGTTAGTCTGTCACGCTCCTTTACTGAAACATGAGTACAAACGTTCTCCAAATTAGTCTTCCTGGTTAGCCGTACCTCACAGCCTAGGATGTTCATGTATTGCAGATATATAAAACCATTCTTGCGAAGTTAATCGTACGAAGCACGTAGCACGGTCTAATTACGATAATATTTCCTTGTTAATCTTTAAATATTTACCAACTTAGAACAAAGGGCCAGGATAGATGTTATATTTCGAGGAAAATTAATTATACTGAAATGAAATGAGTCACAGTTCAATTCACCACGTGACCTGAATTATAGAAATGTTGTAGAAATAATTAGAATGAATTGGAAAATTAAATATGCGGGGAGACCAACTTCCTGTTATGAATTCATATGTGCACTTCTTACAAGGAATAAACAAAAAATTAATAAAATCCTATTTATGATTAGTGTTAGTCACTGCACACTCAAAAATTTTGGGAACATATCGTATACATGCGTGAAAGAAAGTGACGTTGATGGTGACTTACCATGCTCCCATCCACGTCGCTGTCGTGGGGGTCCATCTGGTAGACTGGAACTGGTTCTCTGTTTTTGACCCGAATTTTGACTGCTTTTTAGGGTAACACCCACACACAGTAAGAAAAAACAAAAGGAATAAACTTTTTACAACAAATCTTGTATGAAGCACACTAGATCTCTCACCGCGTTCTCAAACGCAATTGTTTGCGAGAGATAAAAACAGAAGGAAACAAAAAACTTGATCAAGTTATTAGTTACATTCGCTGTACTTTGTTATTATGACACAAACATAAACAAAAACAAAACTTGAACACGGCGATCCTTGTTCGAATTCAAAACACCAAGCACAACACAATAAAAAAAACTGAAGGAGTCAAGACAGGCGATGTTATGTCCAACAGCAGTAGGCAATTCAATCAGGCCCAAGTCACGCGTGTCTACTCACCGACGCTAACCCACTCTGGATTATTAGTGAGCAGAGCCATCTCCACTACAAACTCTCTCCTCCCAAACATCAAACTTGTGCCCCCTCCCTCCCGCGCAAACCATAAAACCACGATCAACCGCTCATTACACTCGGACTTACATCAATGTGCGTCTTATACGCCAATCGAATCACGCGAGGGCGGAGCGTTCTGTGATAGGCTTGCCACTCAGAGGCGGAGCCTGCAATTCTTTTATTTTTTTTGTACTTGATACTTCAGCCAATAACAATACGCGAATGACTGCGAGTTGTCCCAGTTCCACCAATAGGAATGAGGAGTTGAGATGCCGCGGAATGTTCCATTGGGCGCGCAAGCGTGCCTTTTATATTGTTAAGCGCTGATCTGATAAGCAAAGAAAGGAAATAATTATCATTTACATGAACCTGTTTAGCTTCGAACATTTTATATTACTGTTTTATGGACGTCGACACAGCTGAAATATTGCAGTGACGTGTGTTGAAGTTTCCAGAGCGGCGATTTTTTGGATTGTTGTCTTCTGAGCCGTGACTCTGTACAGTCTTCCAGGTGGCGGGCATACGTGATAAAGGTGCAGGATGCCTCGGCGCTGAACCTTGACCAACGTTACGGAGGAACAGTCAATCTTTTGCATGGTTCCAGTAGTTATTTTTATTTTCACAATTTAGAGGTATAGATTGCTGACTGGATTTATTGACCACTTATGTATACCATTTAGAACTACAAGTAATTACAGCAGTACTGCTAATCTCCATACTTTACAAATCACCACAATAGCCTCTAAGCCATTTACCAGCCTGCTGTGCCTTCAACAGCTGTTCCCTAGTAACGGCTTCTAACAGTGGAGATTCTTCTACTTCAATGCTGACGGCCTTGTTGGAGATTGACTGGATCGCGCCAATTCTCTTCCTTATAACCACTTTGTAGGAACCGAGCAGAAAACACCGTTCCAACAGTAATTGTATTGTTTTATGCATATCCTTTGCCATGGAATAGTGTTGTTTATCCATCTATTGCATAGCAACGGCTGTACAGGCTACGTTTGTAACATAGTTTCAGTTATTCAGTATAGAGGGGGTGGGTTTTCCTCATGCACCGCGACTAATAGTCTATTGTACGTCCCCCTTTAATTTCTACTGTCGCCATACCCTACCGATACTGGTGCCCGCTATCTCCCCTTTCTGCCAGCGAGGTCGGCCCTCTACTGGCAGTGGTACCCAGTAACTTCCCCCTTTCTGCCAGTGAGGTCGGCCCTCTACTGACATTGCTACCCGATAACTTCCCCATCTACCGGAGGAATTGGAAACTACTTGGGCGGCAAACATTTTGCCTGATTTTGCTCAGATGTCTCCTAGAGACAAGAGGATCTTTTACGTGCCGTAAATCTACGACACGGGACCCACGGCTTAAAGTCCCTCCCGGAGGACTTGTTCCCTGAATTTTTCCGCCCTTAAAAATTCCACGACCTCCGCCGGGTTTGAACCCGCGTACCTTGAGTCATGAGGTGGGAACGTTACCCCTAGATTACGGCCGCTTGTAACATAGTTTTCTCTGAGGTCTTTGCCTAGCAACGGGTCTTTACGCCACATTATGATTAGAATGCACAATAATACAGTAGAGAGTTCAATGGCCCAAGGGTGTCATTCCCCGCCTCCTATAGTATTCAGTTACACTCTAGAAATTCCAAGGGTAGCCATGATCCATGTGCAGTGGGTGTACCAATTCATTGTCATCGATGCGACCTCAGCTGCTATAAATAAAACGTCACGTGGGCTTTTGTCACGGCACATCCTCGNCGCTTGTAACATAGTTTTCTCTGAGGTCTTGGCCTAGCAACGGGTCTTTACGCCACATTATGATTAGAATGCACAATAATACAGTAGAGAGTTCAATGGCCCAAGGGTGTCATTCCCCTCCTCCTATAGTATTCAGTTACACTCTAGAAATTCCAAGGGTAGCCATGATCCATGTGCAGTGGGTGTACCAATTCATTGTCATCGATGCGACCTCAGCTGCTATAAATAAAACGTCACGTGGGCTTTTGTCACGGCACATCCTCGGGTTATGGAACGGCAGCCAGATAGGATTATGGTAATAGCAATGAAAAGAGCCGCAGACAAGAGCAGTACTGCAGGTTGTGGGCTTGGAACGAGGCTAACATCTCACCCCCAAAATCAGGACGTTGCGAAATGTTACCGACGACCTCAAACTTTGACGATTCTTTGAGTCAGCTCCGTAAAGTCAGTTCGGTGTATCATGTGAGTCAGTATTTGGGGGGGGGGACATCATAATTTCACAATCCAATTAATTAAGCCCAACTGTGACGACATAAATATCTTATTTATGTCAGTATGGAATTTTGAAAATGGTTTGTGTTCTCAAGCTCTACGAAGTTTATGATTTCGTCGTGGAGAGAGGCGAGGCTCCTTTACAAAGCAGTTACGTAAACATAATAGCTTAGGTTACATGTACTCACAGATCAGCTCTGCTCTTCTGCTGTCGTGGGCCTATTCTGAAGGAAAAGAAACTAATTAAACTCCATGTAGTGGATATATTTCGAGAAGCTGACGATCGCTCACTTAATCAAGAGATTTCGGCCTTTTATGGAACTCGGAGATCCAATACTGCGTTTATAAGAACAGACCGCTGGATTCATTCCTGAGCCTATTCAAACCAGTCCACACCATCTCATTTGACAGAATTTTACAGAAGTATTTTGTGATTTTCTTCAGTTCCTCCAACCAAATATAAGGTATGACAGCGTCGCTAAGTAGGCAGTAAATTAATTAATTAAATAAATGTTAAGGTAGGCTCTCAACGCACCTGTTTCTCTCTGCGCCTGCGCCAGTGAGCCGAACGCCCCGTCAGTTCTCCTAGCGTCAGCCTAACAGTATTAAACTATGGGCAGAGTGGACCAGAGCGGACGACACTGCTCATCATAAGCTGAATACATTTTTCCGTCATTCTGATAAGCATAACCTGCAACTTTTTTCTGTTAGGTCCAGAAACTATCTTCAATAGGCCTGTTGCGTGTTGTAACACCTTGTACATGCATTTAGATCCTGGTCTTCTGGGCTATGATATTGTGCAGCGTCAGGGATGGTTACCAACGTTTCTTCATCTGCTCTATGAAACTACTTCCGCAACTTTGGTAACTATCTATCAGACTACGCGCTTTCATAACCCTGAATACAGCAACTGAATTGTCATCGCCACGGAAAAATAAAATCTCTCCCTCAACACCAGTTCCTCAGCCAGGTCGACAAAAGTTTAAGTTCACAGACCGATAAAACCCACGTGAAACTGTACGCTTATTGGCCTATATATTTAAAGTTGTTACGATTGTAAGTTTTCACGCAGGACGCAAATTCTGAACCCTGAATTTTGAAATATTGAAATATTTCTTTTGAAATATATTTTTGCCAATATTACGCTACTTGCATAGCTGCCGTAAAAGTTTATACGCCTCCAAAATACGGCCCTGTGATGCATTATACCTGATTTGGAATTAAACAGGCATAATAATACAGGACCGATAATACAGTATCCTAATTTCCTCTTTACAAGATACTCTGTCAAAAAGTTCTAGATGCAGTGCTCACAGTATGAGTTTGCTATCAATATTCGAAGAGAAATTCCGGGAAAAAGTAATCGCTTACTTTCTTCTTATAAGCTGAAGTGTTGGTATTACTGATCACAAGGATTTACGAAGTATATTGTTGAGATGGCCCCATGTGGCATGATATGAGTAATATGTTTTATGACAACTGGTTCAGATATTCAAGTAATACTAAGTTTACTACCAACTGGACGAAGCAGGATCGGAGTTCGAGTCCCGGAAGGGTTAAGAATTTTCTCTTCTCCACGTCGCCCAGACCAACACTGAGGACCACCCAACCTCCTACTCAGTGGGTACCGTGCGTTCTTTCCCGAGGGTAAAGCGGCCGAGGGGTGAAAATCACCACTCATCTCCAACTAGTGCCGAGGTCAAGCAAATGTGGATCTATACATCCACACCCCCATACGCCTTAATGGAATAGTGCTTAATTAGTTAAGCACGGGACAACTTTTTTTCCTTGGCACTACAGCCCCAGCGGGCCTAGGCCTACCTCCATGAACTTCTCCGTTTCACTTCGGTTTTTCTTGATTTTACACATTCGGTAGGACTCAGCTCGTCGCAAGGCCTCTACCTGTACACAAACACAGAAAAACGCACACACACAAACTAAACATCCATGCCCTGAGTGGGATTCGAACCCATGATCCCGGTTTCCAAGCGAGCGAAGACAGTACATGCCACGGGACAACTTTACTATTAATTTTTTACCAAAATAAGAGAAGAGAGAAGTCCGAAGGAAGGCGCAGTCCCTGTAACGGCACTCTCTGTACAATGTGACCAGGAAGTTACACTTCTGTCAAGGAGAAGAAGACATGTTCTCGCCTTTGTAGGATGAATATCTGAAGTCAGGTGTTGTGACCACACTACACTGAAACATCTTGTGTCCAGATTGAAAGCTAAATTAGTATGCTGTCATAAAGTTCTTTTTTTCGCCGTTAGAAAAGGGCTTAGCGTCACGTTTGACTCTTTGTGAGAGACAGGTTACGGGCTGAACGACCCGGATTCGATTCCTAGCACGGACATATTTTTTCTCTTCTCTGCTGTGTCCAGTACGGCTCTGGGTTCCACCCAGTCTCATATCCAATGGCTACAGGTGGCCCTATCCCCGGTGTTAATGCGGCAGGAGCGTGATGTTTACCACTAAACTCCAGATAGTGCCGAGGTCAAGAAAGGTTGAGTTACACTTCCACTGCTCCATATGTTTTCATGGCCTAGTGCTTAAATAATTAAGCAAAGAGACAACTTAACCTTAACCTTTATTTGTCCTTTATTGTTTTACACTTCTCGTCCACAATTTTCGTCCACAATAAAAAGTCGAGTGGCGTCGAGTTTGTTCTCCTCAATCATCTTCAGCAGCACATCGAAGAATTAGCAACACTTCCTTTATTAAAAC